CATATGTGCTGTATCATTCGAAACGTCGAAAACCAAAAAGCAAACTAAACTAGCGAGAAAGTCCGAAGAAATACTTTTATTTAAATTTCAAATATTCACTTAAATCTAAGATAATTACTAAAGTGATTAACTAACATGATTTGCTACCGTAGAGCTAATTACTACTTCAACGAGTCTGTTATCATATATTATGTATGAGACCACAGCTGCGTAGTTCGACGCGCGCTATTCCCTTGTGCTTCGTAGTGTACTGATAACAGTTTCACAATGTTGCAGCGCCACTTATATATTCTAGCCATGTTGATAATCTTGAAGATATGCTACAATTCCTAAAATTGTCTTAGTTTTACCATTTTAAGCTAAAATTTAAAACATATTACTAAGTACAAATAAATATAAATAAGTTGCAACATTAACACATAGCACCATCTATTTTCATGGTAAGCTACGAGGCTTGTGTTATGGATACTAGATAGTTGATACACTACATATATACAACTTTAAAAACATACACATTATAAATATAAACACCCATGACTGGTATACAAATATTTAATGTTGTGCTCAACACACAAATGAATGCCCCCAGCGGGACTCGAACCCGCGACCGCTGGCACAGCAAGTAGGGTCACTACAAACTGAGCCAAATCATATTATATACTAGCAGAACCCGCGGCTTCATTCGCGCTAAAACTACAAAAAAAAACTTTAAAAAAGTAGGTTTCATACAAACTTTCATCCCCTATTTTACTCCCTTGAAGAATGAATTTCGAAAAATGCTAAAACACGTATTTATTTACTTGTATTGAAAAGCATATTATATTATATGAGATATAGAGATAATCTCCCGCAGTAAAAAGGAGCCTACGTCACTCTCAAATCCTCCAACTATCTCACACAAACAAACACACTTTCACATTTATAACATTAGTATGGAAGTATGAATATAGATATAAATATATATATATGTATATATGTATATATATATATATATATATATATATATATATATATATATATATATTCCATACTAACCGTTAAAACGTACCTAGGGACGAACCCGAGCGAAGCGACGGTCAGACGCTAGTATTTCATAAGTATGTATGAATATGATAATTATTATGAATAATTTATAATCGATGCATTTTCCTAATATATTAAAAACAGTTTAACATCACATACTTATATACATAAGAGTAGTCCTGGACTCTCTTTTACGCCACACGATTGGTTTACGACCATTTTACTACGTTTTTATGACGTATTGCATACTTAACGACTTCTGAAGCGTTGTAATAGTCTCATAAAATGCGTTTTGAATATTGTGCTCTATTTTCGTTTGCACTCTAAAACTATATGAAGAAATTTTTAGTAGGATCTGATAAGTACTCGTACACAAAATGCAAATATTGTTAGATTTGTATGTTTGTGTTCAAGCAAAGCAAGTCGATGACGGCTTTATTTCTCGAATATTGGCAACCCAAATAAATGGCGGTATATCCGATATCTCCTTTCCTTTACTTATCTATCTATTATTACATATAATAAAATTCTGAGTCGAATCAGTACATGAAATATTTTTTGGACGATCTTATTGAAATAATAATTATTATCGATACAGTGGCCGAATCTGTAGTTTTTAGATTTTTTCTGTCTGTCTGTCTGTAAATGGGAATGCATCACGAGAAAATTACTGGACAGATTTTGATAAAATTTGACATGATGATAGCTCGTTATCTGGGTCAACATATAGGATACTTTTTGCTGCGGAAAAGTGTTTCCTCTCTGACAAATCTATACTAAACGTTAAAACGTAACTAGGGACGAACAATATACTAATACATATCATAAAATACAACCTCTTTGTGTGTCTGCCATTGTTCGCTTATATATTAAACCACTGGCACGATTCACACGAGTTTTTTTTTATATACGAATGTGACTTCTTACTTTTTACTTTCTTAGATTTACGCTAATGTTTGACATGTTTAAATAAATCCATGGTCACGGGAGAGACTGAGGTGTTACATGTCTTGAAGGTATAGTTGTTACAGACAGCCTACCCACAATTAACAAAATGAAAATTGCACCAACTACATTACAATATTTTTTAAACTTTAAACATTTTTATATCTTAATCATCTTTACATTTTTGTGTTCGAGTCTTCCCAGTAAGTAATCCGAGGATACTTGTGTTGAAAACCATTTTCACATCGTCATTTTCTTTTCAAATCATCAAATTATACAAAATAACATCATTAGCTCTGACCTCTAACTTTCAAGGCTTACTTGAAAATATAACTCATTATTTATCAACAATTGCTATACAAAAATAATATGAAATAGCACATATCATTATTTATTACTTAATATCTACATACCAGGCAGTGGTAGCTCAGTGACAACGCGCTCGCTTGGAAAACCGAGTGAAGCGGGTTCAAATTCCGAGTCTCGCACCTCTGATGTTATCATGTGCGAATCATTTGTAACATGATTACCACTTGCCTTACGGTGAAAGAAAACATCGTGAGGAAACCTGCATGTCTGAAAGAACTTAGCAAGTTTTTGAAAGACATGTGAAGTCCGCCAACCCGCACTTGGCTAGCGTGGTGGACTATGGCCTGATCCCCCGCGTATTGAAGGGAGGTCCGTGCCCTGCTGTGGGACGTTAAAAAGTTCTGAATACATCTCTACATTCTTCTACTATACAAGAATGAGTTGAGATTGTACATTATACTTATATTTTTACGAAAATCGTGTATCAGGGGTACATTGCTATCATGATCGAAACAAATCATTAATTGTACTGTAGCCAAAAAATTAAAGTTTAACCGTATTTATTACAGCAAAATCGTCTTTAGAATCATTTTTCCGTTATAGAGAAACAAAACAACTAGTAGTAGGAAACTTATATTGTTTATGAATTATGAGCAAAAATGGATTTGAAATCTAAACCCCGTATATAAATAAATAAAGCTATTCATTTATAATGTATCATATTAACAAAATTAATTTTCGATTAATCAGGCTCAGTTGTTTTATCGTATAATCCTGTTAAAAGGTTCTTGGGTCCTAAAGATGTGAAATCGAATTTCCCATCTATGTAATACTAGCGACGCACCCGCGCTTTGCTTGAGTTCGTAAGTAAACGTGAGCATACCTTTATCACTTCTAGGCGATCTCCATACAGAACATCATAGCAAACGAAATTCCCATACATGAATTTAAAAAATATATTATAACTTGTTTTCCCGTGGGAGTAACAAATTGTAGTAACTGGAAAGAAGAAGAACAACACTTTTACTTTGTAATTTATAAGCGACTTACCGTCGCTTCGCTCGGTTTCGTCCCTAGGTTGATTCCCCGTACAAACTATCATCCCCATTTTCACCCTCTTAAGGGATGACTTCCGGCATACTATCCTATGTCCTTCCCAGAGTCATTTTTTATTTCAAACCCACAACCCCTGTTATAATTAGTGCTCTATGTTAATTTAAAATTCGAAGATAGATCTGACTCATTATTTGAAGATCATTTTGGCACTTGGAAATGATATTTTGACATTTCCAAGTGTCAAAATGGCAGTAATATCATAATAATGTATGAAAATGTTGTAACTTTAAGTCTCAATAACTTTTGACTCTTTCGTTTCCTCAAAATAAATTTTATATATTTGGACTCACTATTGCCTTCCCTATCCAAAAATAATATTATACCACCCACTCCTCCAGGGTCCGCGTCCGATATAATAAACTGCAGCCCAGACAGACAGACAGACAGGAGGTACTTTCACATTTATAATATTAAATGTATTTAAGACAATATACACTATTTAAGATAAACACAACAAAGCAGATTGAGAAATGTTAATCGATTTAGATTTAATTACAGTTTGGTTACCAAGTTAATCTTTAATTTGTTATTCTGCACAGCCCTAGGATTCACTGTCCTTACACGAGTCTAATCTATGAAGTTTATATACATACATGTATATTGTACAATTTAAACAAAGCGTAATAATATCGATAACTTACGTACTTCTTAATTCGGGTGCGTCCCTAGATGCCCAAAATCTATCTTTGTTCTAAAATTCATACAAATTTGTCCAGCTAGCTCAAATAGTTCAGCTTAAAACAGTAACAAACATATGTACACACAAATTTCTATATTTATAGGCAAATAACTACGTACTCCACTCATATTAGCGTACACTCGTATAACATATAAACCATTTGTAGAGTTATACCACAGACTATAAATTATATATACAGCCAGAAAAAATGTCAAATTAAAAAATAGTAGCGCGATTTTCTGTTTAGGCTACTATTCTTAATTTTGCCATACATATAGATACTTTACTTTCTTTAAACAACAAGGGAACTATTATAAGGTATTAGAATCACGAAATTTGGCAAAAAGCAAGGTTTTAAAAAGCACAAATAAAAGAAAAATTACAAAAAAATAAAAAAAAGTTGAAATTTAAAGTTAAACAGATTTCCTACAAATTTGTACGAAACCGTCGGTGGTAAAAAGTATCCTATATGCTGACCCAGATAACCAACTATCACCATACCCAATTTCATCAAAATCCCTTCAGTGGTTTTTCTGTGATGCGGTAACAGACAGACAGACAGACAAAAATTCTAAAAACTATGGATTCGGCCTCTGTATCGATAATAATGTTTATTTCAATAAGATTTTCCAAAAAATATTTAATGTACAGATTCGGCTTAATTACAATTTTATTATATGCATAGATTATGGTTTGATTTTTATTTTGATTTTTTGTTCCCGGCCTTATAAATTCTTTATAGGAAACATGGTCCCGGGAGTGAGTTAATTTTTTTATGTCTTAAAAAGTCGTAGTTATTACAGACGGAATCTACGCATAAAATTATATAATAATTTTGAAGAAAAACAATAGAGTATATAATTTAAAAACATTTAGTTTTTGTTATTTACTGTGATCATTACTAATTTAAAAGAACAATTCTTTACAGATCCCTACAAAGCATCAAAAGTGCAGTGCAACGAGTCCATAACCCTGTCGCACACCCATCCACACGCAACCATATCAAGCCCGGGCTTTCCCCGTCCGTACCCGGACGATGTGAACTGCGTTACAGAAGTACGAGCCCCCCCAGCGCACACCATACGTCTTCATTTCGAAGAGCTTCTCACAGAACATGAACCGCAGTAAGTATTTTTTTTAATCCTTTAATTATTTAGCGACTTTAGTCTACGCTAGACCAAGTAGACAAGATAAGGCAAAATTATATGATTAAATACTTCTTTCTAAGAACAAGAAATAAATTTAAATTACTATATAAGTAACTAGCATTTCCCGCGGTTCCGCCCGCGTTCAGATGACCATAAACCAAATACTTAGGTTTTACACTCTTACATTTCAGTTTTTGTATTTTTTCTCAGAAATGAGACCTTTTGCGGTAACAGACAGACAGACAAACAGACAAAAATTCTAAAAACTATAGATTCATTTCAATAAGATTTTCCAAAAAATATTGAATGTACAGATTCGGCTTAATTACAATTTTATTATATGTATAGATATAGTTCAACCTTTTTTAACGTCCCACTGCTGAACACGGGTCTGCCTTCAATACGAATGGATCAGGTACGCCCACCACGCAAGGCAAATGCAAGTTGGCGTACTACACATATATTTCAAACACTTGCTACGTTCTCTCAGACATGCAGGTTTCCGCGTGATATTTACCAAATGTACGTGTAATTATTACTATAAAGAGAAAGAGAGAGATATTTTGTTATTAAATTATAACATATTTACTAAAATTAATTAAATCCTGAACAAACTTAATAAACTATTCATGAACTTAATAAACTAACTTTCAGTTCGCAAACAAATTATCTGCATGTCAAAGTTGAAGGGACAATGGCTTACATAGGGTCGCACGTGCAACATCCACTCAAAAGGAATTGTAGGTCATGCGAGTGAATTAAATTCATGTCATATTGAAGCACTGAATTCTAATTTTACTGGTTGTTGTCATTTTGCAATAAACCAGTGGGAACTATTTGATGTATGTATCTAGATTAAAGTATACAGTAGATATCTATGTAGAATCCAGTCAATAGACAATACAAGATATTATGGCACGTTTATCTAAATACTATAATACTAACGACTCATCCTCGCTTTGCTCGGGTTCGTCCCAAGGTTGTTTCCCGATACAAACTTTCATCCCCATTTTCACCGCCTTAAAGAATAATTTTCGGGATAAAAAGTATCCTATATCTTTTGCAGGGTCTCAAACTATCTATCTACTATATATCTAATATAGATAGACTATATACATATATTATTTTTTTCTAACTTAAATGGGTTTTTCCTCAAATTTTTTTATATTTAAAACATCCCTGATATACCTCCAACAAAACAAAAAAAGTATTATTCAAAATCGGTTCAGCCGTTTTTGAGTTTTAGCGAGACTAACGAACAGCAATTGATTTTTATATATATAGATGAAGAAGACTGGCGACCTCGTTGATTGAGTGGTGGACCCAAATGTCTTGAGTTCAAGTCTCGAGTCGGGCCAATTACTATTGAATCTTTCTGTCAAGAAGTATTTTGAAAAGAGCCAGATTTACTGGTAATTGATTTATTAATGATGGCAGCCTGAACCTAGTAAAGTCAGTCTTCACATAAAATACAAGAATATACAGAGGCAACCAGTCATAACAGTGTTTAACTATCCATGGCATTATTTTACTTTATCATTACAAAAACAAAATTTTTCAATAAAATTATGTAAACACTAGCGGCTCACCCTCGCTTCGCTCGAGTCCGCCTCTAGAAAAACACTAATAGAGATCTATTAGTTCCCACGGGAACCGTTCATTTTTCCCGGATGAAAAGTAACCTGTTGTTTGACCGGCAATATAAGGTATCAGAATGTTAAATTTTACTAAATTAGGTGCATAAGTTGTATAAGTTATTATAGTTTTTTAACTATCTCACGGGAACTATTTAATTTTGCGGGATAAAAAGTATCTAAGATGTTGCCCGGGGATATAAGGTACCACTATGCAAAAATTCATTTAAATCGGTCGAATAGATTTGAAGATTAGCCCGTACAAACAGACAAACAGACAGAAAAACAAAAAAAATGAAAAAAATCTGGATTTGTTCTATTTGTTTCTTACATCGCCCTGACTCGGTTTTTTTCATTTTTTTTGCTATGTACAGACATTCAACCTCTACTGTTTTATTATAGTATAGATTACTTGATCCCTCGTATACGAAATACTTTACAATTTAAATGCAGCTATTAAGGAACAAAGATTTGAAGTCGAAACAATGTTATAAATTAGCTTATTCAAATCAGCATTTGGAGGAATTAAAATTCATTCCCTTATATTAACATAAAGATTTTTTTACCAGTTTAACTTAAAAATCTGATTGTGCATTATTCGTACAAGGAACTGGAGGGTTACAAAACAAAGTACAAATGTAATTTTGTAGACGCGTTTGGCTCAGTTTTTAATGACCCTACTCGCTGTGCCAGCGGTCTCGGATTCAAGTCCCACTGGGGGCATTCATTTGTGTGATGAGCACGAATGTATGTACTCCATTCATGAGTGTTTATATTTATAATATGTATGTATTTAAAGTTATATATGTGTATCAATTAGCTGGTATCCATAACACAGGTAGTAGCTTTCCATGGGACTAGATGGTGCTGTGTGTTAATGTCCCAACAAAAATTTGCTTTACAACTCGCATTTGTTTTGTTTTATATCAAATTTATAAATTAAATTTTAATACAATTATGGCTATAATTGAGAATATGGCTATATTCTATAGTCACTAGGTCCAATATATGTACGTATGTATGATCAACAAAAATTTGTTGCTATCGACGTCACTCCTTTATATGATTTGACAACTTGACAAACTGGTATTCCATTGAAATTGCCTCCATAAAATTCGAATTAATACATATAATATGAAGTGTACACAAAAAACACGAAGCAATTTTTAAATCTTTCATAACAATGTAACTTATAATGCAGCACAACATTATGCTAATACAAAACATTAGCCAAGTGGTAGAAATATTATAATCTACATCCTACAAGGAGCTGGCGTGACCGTAATGTTGTAGAGAAAAAACCACTATGGCTTTTTGTTTTTAGAATTATGTTATACTAGCATTACCCGCGGCTCCGCCCGCGTGCAGATGACCAAAAACGAAATTCTTAGGTTTTACATATTAGTATACTCTTATATTGCAGTTTTTGTACTTTTTCTTAAAAATGAGATATTTTCCCGCGGTAAAAAGTATCCTATATGTTGACACGCATAACCAGTTATCATCATACCTGTCATTAAAATCCGTTTAGTGGTTTTTCGGTGCTGCGGTAACAGACAGACAGACAAAAATTCTAAAAACTATAAATTCGGCCGCTGTATCGATAATAATGTTTATTTCAATAAGATTTTCCAAAAAATATTTAATGTACAGATTCGAAGAGATATGTAAAATACTTATTTCTTACTTACCTATTAGATATTCATATCTTTAAATATTGTCGGCTGGCACCGACTTCGAAAATATCTGATTAGGTAGGTATCTTTTCTAAATGAAAACCCCCGTTTAGTTATTTTTTACATTTTAATGCCTGGAATCCGATTTTTTTTTAAGTTTTAATTTTTCCATTTTTAGTGTAGACGTACTAAGCAGGTAATTTGTAAGATGGAAAACATATTCGATTAAACAATTTATTTAAAAAATAATTCATTTTTGACTTTTTAAAAGACCTCTCGACCGAGTTCGATAAAATTTATATGGGACCACCTGGGAAGTATACCCTATGAAAAAAAAAATCCAAATCGGTTGAGGCGTCTTCGAGTAATCGGTGAACAAAAAAAAAGATTCCGACGAATTGAGAATCTCCTCCTTTTTGGAAGTCGGTTAAAAATACTCATGTAGTAAGGTAATCGATACAATTTTTCCATAAACAGTAATCTAATCGGCAACCTGTTATTTACACACCACAAAATTCGTTTTCGCTAGTGATTAAAGTAAATTATAATAACTTAAATATTCAATGATAGTACAAATAGCAATTCAAATATTTTCAAGCACGTTTCGACTAATGAAGTAATTCGAATGCACTAACAATCCATGTAAATGGAACAAACAATTTTGTGCTTTATTTTACATGAATAAGCGTTAATTTTCAACAAACAACAGCGTATTGGGAATATACATATTCATAGCTTTAAATTAGCTGCATTTTACAAAATATCAGCGGGCATTGTATTAAATGTAAAGTTTATATTCTATATCTCCATTTTAAAGAACTAAAATTTTGGCTTACGTTTCATTTCTAATAATCTATAGCATCAAGTTGCCTAATTTAGACTTGATTCTAAAACCGTTATCGATTAGATTAAGAAATACATGGAAATTTATTATTGAAAATTTGAGGAAAAAGGAATTCACAAGCTTTCACTAAAGCTAACACTAAAGCTAAAGCTCGTCAATAGCTATTACACAAAAAAAAAGAAAATCGGTTGACAAACAAAAGAAAAAAGTCCTAACCTGTTCTGTCTTTGGTTATTTATCTACAAATTTTTGTGGGAACTATGAATACTCACGCATTGATTATAATCTGCACTTATATTATAAAGAGGTAAAGTTTGTGAGTTTGTGACGTTGTACCCGTGTACGGGGTAACCTCTGAATCTACTGAACCAATTTAGATGGAATTTGGTAAGAAGATAATTTGAGACTCTGCAAAATATATAGGATACTTTTTATCCCAAAAATCTTCCTTTAAGGCGGTTAAAATGGAGATGAAAGTTGGTATCGGGATGCAATGGCAACCTAGGGACGAACCCGAGCGGAGCGAGGGTGAGTCGCTAGTAATAATATAAAATATTTCTCAACCAAATCGCTGTCTCTCATGACTTAGCCACGGGATTGACAAACCCCACTAACAATTGGAGTACAAATGACATGATTTGATGGAATTATAAGCACGAACGTGACTCGGTCACCGCGATACATGTCGGCCATAAATTATTTATATTAAAGAAAATTGTAATTTTTTTATTACGTTTATTTAAGCGGATTTTTTTTTATAAAAGAGAGTTGAATAAATACGAAATACTAGCATTTTACTTCACTCGTGCCTATGTGCGTAAC